TTGAATTTATGCTAGCTTTCCCTGGGTCTGAAGGCTCCCACACCATGCAAAACTTTTGTTAAATAACTTCATTAGGCTGTTTTCTTGTTCATCTGTCTTTTTTTTTTTTTTTTTTTTTTTTTTGGGAAGGGGCTACAAGGTGTTTAGGGTCTCACTACTGGATTAGACTCGTAGCAATTCTCCTGTTTACAGCCTCCCAAGTGCTGGGATTACAGGCATGCACCACCATACCCAGTTTCAATTGCAGTCTCAGGTCATCTGTCTTTGTTATAGCAGTGGTGGTTGTGCCCCTTACAATGGGTAAGGAAACGTGTCACACCATTTCTGAGCCCGTTGTCCCATCTAACTTTGCAGGTGAGGTGTTACATGGGCCTCATTTTTGCCCTCCCCTTGTTTCCCAGCTTGGATTGTTTTTCACTCTTGAACTTCTGTGGTCGGGCATCTTTAATGTTGAAAGTCATGGTCAAATGTCACTGTCTGGTGTCTGTTGAGTAACTGATGTGGCAAGAGGGAGAGGGCCATGGCATGAGGCAGTAGTTGGAAAGCCCCTCATGGGAGAAGAATGAAAGCCTTCCTTTCCCTTTCCTTCTCTAGGCCTTGAAACTCTCCTCTCTCCCTCTGCTGTTTTCCCACATTGCTTAGGGCTTAGGTTCGGAGACTGAGTGCCTGCCACAATTTCTTTGCTCCAAGCTCTTACTGAGAATTAGCAGATGTTTCTCAAAAGCAGAAAACAAGCAGACGTTAGACATTTGATTAAATAAACTTAATATTTACAAAATAATTGGTCTGTTGATCTGTGACTGCACTTACTCCGGTCATCCATGTCACACTTACAGGTCCATTTTATTTGAAATCCAATGAAGGAGAATCAAACAAGAATGTATTGTTCAAATAGCTTTTGGTCCGGTGGATGACCTCCTTGGAACACCATTCAAAGTGAACAAATAAATAAAAATAAAAGGCTGTACTTGCAGTAAAAAGCCTGAGGCTAAGGGCTATTTTTACCTCTGACCCTATGATAGATCAACTGCTTAATCTCTCCAAATGTGTTTCCGTTGTTTGTCTACAAAATAAGGATGATCTCTCCTGGCTTTGCATAGGCAATTCTTTCATTGTCTTGTTGGTAGAAAGATTCCAGGTGGTGAAAAACACACCTCGTCTCTTTGACTCTTCAGTCTTCGAAGGCTAAGCTCCAAGATCCTCAAATGTTTCTCCAGCACAGAGAAATAGCCCAACTCACTAGAAAACCATACTTACACAGCCTATCTAGCACTGCATAGTATGAAGATATTTAAAAATATGGAATATATATTGCTTTGCTTTCAATATTAAATTTTGTGATTTTTACATGCCTTGTTTGATGTGTTTTCCTTCTTATCAACAAAACTAAAGAAACAGTAAAAATGGCACATAGCCTACCTTCAAATCCAGGAACTGAAAATGACCACTAGCAATAATTTGCTCTATATTTTAAGAATTTTATTCATGCTTATTGTATTAGTTTTGACAGGCAAATTACTGTAATAGTCAGAAATAAAAATATGATAAGGTGGTAATAGGATGGATGGATATATGTATAAAATATAATAAAATATATAATGAATCAAAATATATGTATAAAATGTGAAACTCCAGTGTATCCCAAACAGCTCAGAGTATGTTACATGCATAATGAACCTGCCAAAATGAAAATCATTATCTTGACAGCAAAGGTGCACTAATAAACGAAAAGATATGGAAAAACAAGACAGGCAACACCCCTGAAGTTCACGAGATTTGCTTCTGACTCACAAAGCAGGACTGGGCAGATGAGCAGGATGAACACTTAGGCAGCAAGCTTGCTCTGGACAGGTGTGCTGTATCACACACAGTATTTCTTTCAGTTTGTGTCCCAGCTCTCTGGAAGCAGAGCTAGCCGCCCGCGTTCTTAGGCCAGTTGCTTACCTCAACATTGTATGACTCAAATTCGCCCTCCCACGCGTGCTTGGAAGGAAGCCACACTTGGACTTTGCTCTCCAACTTCTTTATTTAGAGGTTCTTTGGTGCTTTCCTCTAGCCCTTCTTTCTGGCTTATAAGTTACATTAGCTGCCTTTGCTTCTTATGTGATCTGTCTGCATTAGCCTACACCCACTCCACTCCTGCTTTGCTTTGAGGAAGATTTTTAAAAAATCATTTGTGAGCAAGTGTTGAGTTGACTGGGTTGTCTTTTTCCTCAGGAAGCAGCTTCTTCTCCCTGTGTGTTATGTCATGTTCGTCTTGCTTTTCTCCTTTTATATGTGTTCCCAGAAACCCACCTCTTCTTTTGTGTTTTGCGCTCTTCGCATCTTCATTCCCTAAGGATCCACTTGTGAGCCTGAGTCAGCTGTCCCTCACACCAGTGTTTCACTTCTCTCTCACTCACTGCCTTTAAGCTGAAGCAGGCGAGTTGCGTTCACTGTTTGCTTTCATTGTGATGTGTTTGGAGGACCACCCATCCAAGTACACTTGTCCAAAACTTATCTTTCCTGAAACAATCTTTCAGCAGCAAGTCACACTCGGACAATTTCCAAACTTCCTGTCTTATATGAATTTTGTCTCTGACGACAGCTCACACCCTTCTCCCCAAAAGGAAAGCTCTACCGAGGGGTTTATTGTTCACTGTGGTCAGAGAAAGAACCACATCCATCCAGGGTTCAGAAGAGGCAAGGCAGGGTAGGGTATCCAAGGTAAGATGTTAGAACTAGAACAAAATTTAGAGACTTATTTAAAGAGTGATTTTTGCTACAGGCTCTTGTTTAGGTAAGAATTATAGTACAATAGTTCATTCAGGATTGGTGAGCCCAGCAAGATGAGAATTTTGAAGCCAAGCGTTCTAAGCACCTAGACATGTAAGTAGTTGCTTTCAACTGAAATATGGAGGAATTCTTCAAAAGTTCCTATAGTGAGAGATACAGTTACTTGCCCAGGCAGGAGTCTTCTGAGATAGTGCAGTGACTTTAATGTAGGCAACAAGCCAGTAAGGTTATGTTACTATGGACAGCAAGCTATCTGTGGTGGGAGGTGGAGCAGAGAGATTTTTTTCCTCAGAGTTAATCCCAGCCTCTCTTTTCCAACATCTGATTCATATTCAATGTCCTTAGCTACAATACCTAACCTAGCAGGGTTTAAATTATTTTTTCTTGCAAGAAAGTTTCCTTATCTTCAGCTCCAAGTTGTCGGTGTCTGCACTAGCTTTTGTTGTACTTGTGAGAATAACACCAATAAAGGCATTATGAATAGGAGGATTTCCTCAGTAAGGAGGCCACATATCAAGTCCTTCATAGATATTATTTAATCTTCAGAAGAGCCCTTTGAGGAAGAGGTCTTCTTATTGTCCCTGTTTTACAGATAAGGAAACCATATCTCAAAGGGATCAAGGGCCTCATGCAAGCAGAATGGTAAAGCCAGTATTCCACCTCGGGTCTATCTGACTGTTCAACAACAAACAGGAACAAATTTCAGATACCAGCAACAACATACACAAACCTCCCAGCCACCATGCTAAATGAAAGAAGGAAAGCAGAAAAGACTGTGTATTACATGATTCCCACTACAGGAAATTGCCAGATATGGCAAATTTATGGAAATAAAAAACATCATCATTTTATAGGTCTGAGGGATGGGATGGGATTAACTGCAAATGGATATATTATTACATTTGTCACTGAAAGAAATATTTTCAAACTGGACTGTGATGATAGCTGCACAATTCTACAAATTTACTAGAAGCTATTGAGCTGTATTTCTACAATATGTGAACCTTATGGGATGTAATTTCTCCTCCAATAAAACTGTTCGCCAAATTACAAGGTCATATTCCAATTCCAAGCTTTCCAATCGATACCATTAATGACTGGAATCAAGACTTAGGAGCTATCTCTAAGGAGAAATGATATAGGTCTCATTGGGCTCTTACACGCTTTGTCAATAGGCATAGGCATTTCATTTCTTTTAGCTATGTTGATATTTTATTTTTTATTTATTTTTCTTGTCTTTTGTTTTCATTTATTACCTTTTTTTAAACAAATATTTACTTGAGAGAGAATATAGCAGTAATTGATATGACTTTAGAAGCAGTATGCTTTTAGAAGACCAGAATGACAGGAATTCCAAGCATGGCCCTAGTATTATATATTGCTATCTTCAGTGCAGTTGCTTGGTTCACAGGTATCAGCATATATAGTCAGGGTGAGAATCCTGCCAATTAACTGCTAGTTTCAAAAACCTGATGGAGATTCTCAGGAGAAAAAGAAGGCAGGAGAAAAGCTAGGAAACATGGCAGGGGCAAAACCATACATTTATATACACAAGATGGTTAAGGCAATGATCCTGTTGATACTTTTAATTTTGCTAGCGACACCCCATTCCTAGAAGTTGGTTTTTTCATCAACACTAATTGTACAAAGATAGAAATCTAAGTATCTAAGTTACAGATGCATACATCGTCATAACATATGAGCTGAAGAATCTTTAACTGTCATTGCAAGGTAAACCCGCGAGTGCCCTTCCTCTGAAATGTCAACTGACAGCACAATCTGTGCTTCGTGCAGTGCTGCCATCTACCATATAATTCACTCAAACCCTCTCATTGCTCATTGCTTTAGGCAGGATGTTGGCTATTGTTAAAAATACATGTCAGTTCTTAATTAAGTCATTGGAGGGGTTTTTCCTTTTCTAACTAAATGTAAAAGGGAGGGGGAAAAAACCTCTAGAACTACTCTACTGCAAGAAAGCATGTCTATAAATTCACATGCTCTGGCCCCAGGCCAGATCAGAGAAGCAGGGGCTGGAGCCAGAGTGACCCTGTGTGGAGCGGATGTAGGCTGGTGGGACAGAGTCCTGAGAACAAGTCACTGCCGTGCCACACGAGTGCACTTTCTTCTCACAGGCATTTGCTAAACTTGACCTAATGTTGTTTTAGCTTTGGCAACAAACAGAAACAGGTGGGTTATGGTGACTACATTCCCTGTAACTTTTACAGAGAAATTCGGAATACCAGAAGCTTAACTTATATAGATCCTGATGCCCTGAAAGAGCTCCCCCTCCTAAAGTTCCTGTAAGTATCAAATTCTTCTCATCTCATTTTTCATTTATTTATTTATTTTTATGTATTTACTACAGGGTCTACCATGTCTCACTACACAGACTGGACTCGTAGTGGTCCTCCTGTTTGCAGCCTCCCAAGCTCTGGGGTTACAGGTGTGCACTACCATGCCCAGTCTCAGTCGCTGTCTCAGGGGCGAGGCCAGCACGGCATGCTGGGAATTGAATCCTGGTCCCTGTCTGCCTAGGCAGGCACTTTAATCCACTGAGCTCTCTGGCTGGCCCTTGTCTCACTTTTTAGTTTTTAATTTTTTTTAATAATTTCTATTCTGCTGTCTTCTAGGAGTCTCCCTAGGATGATGTGATCTAGTGTCATCTGAGAGATGTATGGCTTGGATCAAATCACCTCTATGACTCTATTCCCACCCCCCTTCCATTAAGCAAGGTGTTAGGTGAATGCCTCCCATTTTCAGAATCTATCCAAAAAGTCAGCACATCATGCTGGAATTGGAGACTTGTTCCAAGAGACATGAGGAAGAAAATGCCACCACAAAACAAAATACAAAATCCTGAAACCCACTGGTCAACTTTTATTTGGAAAAGGCACTGTAACAAAATGAGAGTGGCTGTTGTACAGAAAAAATGTTTCCAATGATAAAATTCAATCTCTTGAGGGTGGAGAATGAAAATGCCAAGATGACACTGACTGGTTTGTTTTGACCATAACTTATGAGCTAACCATAGCTCTGGGAAAGCAGAAACCACAACATTTTTTGTTTTCTTGGGCATCTTTACTGACTAGCACTAAGTAGATACTCAATAAAAATGTGGTGAGTAGATATATATTTGTGATCTCAAGCCCTTTAGACACCAGCTGGGAGCATCCTTTTTCCTGCTTACTAAAATTAACAAAGGAGGAAGAAGAAGGAAGAAGGAGGAGGAGAAGGAGGAGGAGGAAGGAAGAAGGAAGGAGGAAGGAGGAGGAGGAGGGAGGGAGGAAGAAAAAGGAAGGAGGAGGAGGGAGGAGGAGAAAGAAGGAGGAGGAGGAAGAAGGAAGAGGAAGAAGAAGAAGAGGAGGAGGAGGAGGAAGAGGAAGGAGGAAGAAGGAAGAGGAAGAAGAAGAGGAGGAGGAGGAAGGGGAAAATAACAATAAACCTTGTAGGGATTAATTCCTAACCAACAATCACTATTAACTTTCAGTTAATTTCCATTCTGGATTTTAAAATAAAAGTGCACATCCATAAATGTTTCATGCTACAAGTGTGGAAGGTTAAATAGAATTCTTTAAGGAAAAGAAGGGGGAAGGTAAAGAGAAATGCCAATAGATAGAGCAGCAGGACACACACACACACACACACACACACACACACACACACACACACGGACACCAAACAACCTGGCTCCAGGCCAGGAATATAGCTCAGCAGCGCAAGTGCCTGCCTGCCAAGTGCAAGGTCCTGAGTTTGATTCACAGTACCAAAGAAAAAACAAAACAAAAACAAACAAACAAACAAACAAACAAACAAACCATCCTGGCTCATTTGGGGAAAGAAAAACAGTGCCTTGTTGGAGACAGGCATGTGACACATCAGGAAAAGGGAAGAGAAAATTGATTGTAGATGCTAGTCAAGTATACCTGGGGTGGTGAAATTTTATGGGACAAGGCAGTGTCCCATAATTAATTCTAAAATCAATCAATAATCAATAAGGTATTAGGTGAATGGCTCCTATTTTCAGAACGTATACAAAAAGTCAGCACATTACGCTGGAACTGGAGACCTGCTCCAGGAGACAGGAGGAAGTAAATGCCACCACAGAACAAAATACAAAATCCTGAGGTATCTGGAGGAAACAGAAAAAGAAGACTTCTTCAAGGTTTTGAAGAGTAGAGGTTATTGTTCCAATTTCTTTAATCAGTCATTTCTAACACTTTATGGCCCCTGCTTGACTGTCTGGCATTCTTCCCCCTTTCTTTTCCTTCTCTTACATGAATCTGTATTATAGCTGGACTTGTGTATTTACTGCACATAAAATATATCTTATGGAACATCCTTCCTTTTCTTTGTTACCTTCACTATCCCATTTGTTCGTGTTGAGTCCTGTGGCTCCTGCTGCCTATTCAGATCCTACGCCTTCCTCTCCAGAAGAAGTCAAGGCTGAAGTTTCCCATCCCAAGGCAAGCCTCTCAGAAGAGTTTTTGCTTCTACTAGCTATACCCTAGTATGTGCAGCAAATTTCACACCAACTAATTCTGAAAGGCATCATGAGCTTGAGAGTTTTTGTGTTCATACTGTTTTATTCATATTGTTTAATCTTGACATTTTTTCCCAGATGACCCAAACTTTGGAAACTTACTTTCTTTTTTTGGATTTTTTAAAATGATACTGCTACAGTGGTATTCTCTGGTCACTGCTGTAGGAAGGTCATTCTCAGCAAAACAATGCCACACAAAAACTCTTTAAAAGATGATGGTTGACTTGGAGTTGGGCATTCAAGTTTTCCTCTTCCATCCTGCTTTTATCCACTGCCCCCAGGCACAAAAGAATTATAAATTCCTATTTCTAGAAATATCACTGCGTTCAAACAATGGCCAGAACAGTCTCCCCAAGCAAAGCAGATCCTGCTGACATGGATGAGCAGGATTAATGGTTGTGCCCTGAGGGAAATCATTTCATCAATGGTATGGTTTGTACCTAGAGTCCTGCCCCAGAGCCTCATGCAGTAGCATATGTGGCTTTTTTCAGAGATGGTTGGGTACAGAATGTGTGACATGGGGAATGATTCATGGTGCAGTACTAGCAGAAGGGGCACTAGGATTAACAGTGTGAGTGCTACCTGCCCTAAGTAGCCTGAGTTTAATATAAAGCATCAAGAGCTGTGGTCATCCCTTACTATTTTTCTACCTTCTCCCCGCTATGAACTGTTTCTCCTCTGTCCTGTCACCCTGCCTTCAAGCCAGATAATTATGGGATGATGCCTCTACAAATTGTGAGCTAAATAAACCTTTCCTCCCTTTGACTTTGGGTATCAGGCATTTTGTCTTAGCAAAAAGAGAGAAAGGTAACTAAGATGAAATGATACTAGAGAAACAGAGTCACTGTGGCTGTACCTGATCATGTGGTTCAGAAGACTTTGGATCTGACTGTGGGAAGGGAACACTTAGGAAATGTTTGGAGATTTCAGCTGAAATGCCTTAGGTTGTACTTGATGGGAGAGTCTTGTCAGAGCTCAAAAGACCAGAAGACTGATAAAAATGTTATAAATAAAGACAAGCTGAGGCATGTTTCTGCTAGGTAAAAGGACTACATTGGTTGTTGGACCCCAGACCATAAGTGTTATGGCTTGGCAGAAAGTTTGTCTACATTTGCTAATGTCCAGAGACTTTACCTGAGACTGAGATTAAGGGTAGCTGGAGTAATTAATATTGAAGAAATGTCAAAACAGTCTAATACTGAGGCAATGACATGGCTACTGTTAAGGGTTTTTAGCCAAATTCTTGTTAAGAATCAAGGGCAAAGAGTCCACAGAATGATTAAAACATGAGTTTGGCCAGTAATGGTGCTGCAATAAAGTTTTGGCCTGCAAAAGTGGAACAGAGGAGAGATCGGTCACTGAAAAGACTAGTAAGAAAAAGTCAATTACTTGAGAAGACAACAGAAAAAAACTGGGCTGAGGACAACAAGGGAACAAGCAGGACACTAGCCTTTGCTTCAGAGTCTGCAAAAGTGAAGACTGCTTTGAGAAGAGAGCCCCAGAAGCATCGTGTTCCAGAGTAGTGGAAGCCTGGAGAAGTTTCTTCTTGGGATTTGGTTCATGGGGATGAACTCTTATAGCCAAGAGAGGAGGAAGCCTGGATACTGGTCCTACTAGCAGCAGACCTAGGGGTCATCCACATATGCTGGTTTTAGGTTCATTCAGAATGCAAGGGTTGTGGGGTCAGAAAGGTATCCACTCAGATTTCAGAAGAAGGCCTGGGAGGCCAGGCAATATGCCTCTGTCGAGACACTGTGTGAAGCTGTGAGTGTGAAGCCAAAGGTGCAGTGGAGACCTCAGAAGTTTAGAGAAGCCAGGAATGTGGATCATATGAGAAAAACTTCAAGGAAAGAGCAGGGTAGGCTCAGGAGAGAAGCCATGCAATCTACAACCACTGGAAGAGCCCTAAGGGCACAACCCCTTTACAGTGCATGAGCCTTTTGGAGTAACCATCTTGCCTTGGATGTTGCACAGGGAACTACAGAATTTAATGTTTGCCTTGGTGGATTTTGGACTTCTTTGGCCCTATTCCTTACTATCCCCATTTGCACCTTTTGGAATGGTAACATCTATCTTGCACCGCTGCATGTTGGAAGCATTTAACTTTCTTTTTATTTGTACAGGGGCTAGCAGCTAAGAGTGTCTTAAATCTCAGAGGACACTTTGATTTGGGGCTTTTTGGCAATAACAAAACTTTGAGGACATTGTTAACTCTTAGAGAAGAACTAAATGCCTTTTGCACAAAGGGATGTACATGAGTGCAATGTTATGGTTTGCATCTAGATGTCCCTGCAAAACCAGATGCAGTCAGATGTGGGGCTTTTTCAGACGTGCCTGTATCTAGACTGTATGATGCTGGAACTATTCATGGTGCAATGCTAGGATCAAGGACACTGGGATTAAGGGTATAGGTGCTACCCACCCTAAGCAGCCTGGATAAGATGCAAGTGGTGGAGAAGAGCTATGCTTGTCCTTTGTTCCTCTGCTACCTTCTGCTCACTATGAACTGTTTCTCCTAGGAACACCACCCTGCCTTGGAGCAAGCTGATTATGGACTGAAACTTCTACAAACTAGGAGCTAAATAAATCTTTAACTTTGAGCAACAGACATTTGATGTCAGCAATGAGAAAAATAACTAAGATAACTGGGTGAGAACTTGTTTACAGTCACTCAGATATTATGTGAAATTAGGAGCTGACTCCAGGTTGACTTTAGAACACACGCTTTTGGCTGTATTACACTATTCTATCCCTTCTGTGTTAATTTTCTTACCCAAAATTGACCCTCTTTCTTCGTTTTTCACATAATTTAGTGGCATTTTCAACACTGGACTCAGAATATTCCCTGACCTGACCAAAGTTTATTCCACTGACGTATTCTTCATACTGTAAGTATGCACTCTATTTTGTTTGTCACTGCCAAGAAGTAGAGTCAGCCACAGGGTTTGGCCAAGGAAAGCAAAGGTTTCAAGTAGGAAACCATGAGCAGTTGTGACAACCCTTAGGGATGAAGCAGGATAGGACTGGGAAATGTCCGTGGCATTTAATAATGTGGGTCATTGTTGATTCTGATAGAAATAATTCTAGGGGAAAGGTAAGATAGGGAAGTGAAACAGTTTTTGTGAAAGCTCAAAAGAAATATGGAGGGAAAAATTAGAAAAATGTTTATAATAAACTTTTTTGAGAAGCTCTGTTCTTAAAAGGGAGAAGAAATATCCCAAGGGTTGGAGGACTGGGAAAGAAATCATTTGTATTTGTTTATGTATGATTGGCTCAGCTTGCTGTGGGCGTGGGGCTGGCATGGCACATGGTGCTGGGGATCAAACCATGGTCCCTGCCACTTGCCTAAGCTTGCCGAAGCAGGTGCTTTAGACTGCTAAGCTATCTCACTGGCCCTGTTTGTTTTAATTTAATTTTATTTTATTTTATTTGGTGGTACCAGGGATCAAACTCAGGACCTTGCACTTGTTAGGCAAGCACTTATTCCACTGAGCTATCTCCCTGCCGCCTTGTTTTAATTTTAAATGAAAGAAATTATCAACTACTGACAGGAAAAATTCAATACAGAGAAAATTAGTAATAACTATGATCTCTTATTTTTCACCTTATAATGCATAGAGGGAAGTTCTTATTTTCCTTTTTGACAAATTAAACTCAAGAGTAGGAAATCTAAGTGATTTTGTCTTAGGAAGGCCTCAGGTAATAGTCAGGAGTCATGCTCCAAATACTTCCTGTGACTTTCAGTTGGTGACCTCCTGTGACACAGAAGAATTGTCTTATGTAATAAGCCAGGTGAAAGGGACATGCAGAGAGAATGCACAGCATAAGTGTTCACTATAGACTTAGCAAAATGTGGAGTGATAAACTCCTAACTCTTGCTTGCTTACTACTCACCTGGATCTCTGGATTCCTGTCCACATAGGACAGCCCTCAACAGCTCACCCGCCCTCCAAGCCACCAGTGGCTAGACGGCATCAACAAATACTTAACAATAAGGACCATTTTGCTATATTGAGTTGCATTAATGTGTCTACATGCAACAAGAGGCTATTGCCAGGAAGAAAGCATTTCTTCATCGAATGTTTTTGTCTTTCTGTTGCAGTGAAATTACAGACAATCCTTACATGACTTCAGTCCCTGTAAATGCATTTCAAGGACTGTGCAATGAAACTTTGACACTGTGAGTATTGGTGGTTTTACTCCTGCTGATGACTGAATTTTGTTTGGGGCCATTTTCATAAGAAACATATTAAGTTATTCTTTAGAATGGAAAGGGTCTCATGTAACTAAATGAGTATATTTCCACTAGTTTGGTACTCTGTGGATCACGAACAAGTTTAAATAATGAGACAAGGGGCTGGGGAGATGGCTCAGTAGGATAAGCGCTTGACTGGCAAATACAAGGATCTGAGTTCAATCCCCAGTTCCGCCAAAAAAAATAAATAAATAAATAATGAGACAAGCATCTTCCCGTACGGCAGTGGTTGGTACATTTTTTCTGTGAAGGGTCAATAGGTTTTATACATGGGCTCTACACCAAGTGTTGAACTCTGCCACCGTAAGGAAAAACAACCATATACATACATGAACATGTCAACTAGCTAATAAAATTTAATAGGCAGTAAACCAGATGTGGTCTACAGGCATAATATTCTGCATTCAAATACCACCATTCCACAAAGGAAGAATGCTGGTAGAGCAAACTTAAGTGACTTTCCCAACACCACTGAGTTAGACAGTGGCACCACTTTAGTCTCTGCATACTCTGCAGCCACATTTTTCACTCACTATCCACAAACTATTATTACATTGAATAGAACACATAGTGGCACGATGTGTTCTATGTCTCATTATTTTTTGAGAACTGCTCTTCAGAGCTTCAAAAGTACATTTTTAATAAGGACTAGTCACAAAAAAGCTCTAATGGAAAAGATCTAATGAAAGTATGAAAGAGAAATTCATCATGCAAACTGATGAAAATTCTTTCATTGTACCAGCTACAAAGCAGAGTTGGGGCCACCTCTGCAGATCCCCTCTCTCTATGTTCAGTGCCACTGCCCATGTTTAGGACCAGCAGGTTTATTGTCTGGATCACCAAGCTCCCCATGTCTGGTCATACTACAGTCTGAGGTTATCTATTAGACACAAGTGTGGCTCAGTAACTCCCCAGAAAGACTGATACAAGTCTCCACACATCTTTCCCTAAGGCCAATTTTCCAAGCTGTTCCAAATCAATCTGGGTCCCATGAACTATCTCAGCTGTTGGGGGGTAGAACACTTTGAGTCCCTCTTCTCACAGGGAAAGTTCTCTTGAAAACACAAGAGATTCCTTCCCAGCCACCATTTCTTCCGACAGCACAGGAAAGACTTGGGTGCATAGAAACTTCAGGGTTGTAGCTGCTCTGGAAGGCATCTACTGTGCTGCTTAATGCCCATCATAGGCGAACTGCTGTCCTCTCAGTTTCTTTACAGAACATTACTGTTCCCTTTGGACACATTTTTCAAAGTCATTTGTCCATGAAATTTATGATAGAAATATAACTCAAAAAGAAAAAAATAATATTCACAGTACTCAACAAATTTTGAGGAAATAAAAAATATATAATTTTCACATCTTTGTAAAACAACTCTACTTAAGAAAAAGTCAATGCTTCCATGTGGATATTTGCACTTACTGCTGTTTTATTCACGTATGCTGCTCTAGTTAATATGGTACCTGAGATGTTACATAACAACTCTAGTAACCATGGATATAGCCATTGGGGATATTTCTTTTCACAGAATTCTGGGATATTTTGGGTTTTGGGATTATGTTACTTATTTCCATATTTGAACATAAAATTGTATTTTGTATAAATTTCTAATTATGGCAAAATGCTAGAGTAGCTTTAAAGAACTGTTGTCAGTCCTAGCCCAGGCCCAGTGTGTGAGAGAGCTTCCAGCTACCCTGCACCGGCGGGACCTACTGGTTCCAGCCCAGGCGCAGTGTGGGTGAGACCCTCTTCCACACCCTTGTGACGCCCCCCACCACTCTGCAGCACCTCTCCTACCCCACCTGCCCAGTAGGAATTTCTACCACATTCCAGGAACCCCTAGATCCAGTCATGGCCCAGGCCCAGTGAGTGTGTGGAAGAGCTTCCAGCTACCCCATGCTAGCATGACCTACTGGTCACAGCCCAGGCACAGGGTGGGTGATGCCCTCTTTCACCCTCTTAAGACTCCCCCATCACTCCGTAGTACCACCCCAACACCCCACCCACAGAGTAGGAATTTCTGTCATGTTCTGGGAACACTCAGATCCAGTCCTAGCCCAGGCCCGGTGAGTGTGTGGTAGAGCTGCCTCTCCTCCCTACTTCACCTTGTCACCTCCAGACTCAGCTCAGGCCAGGCATACAGGCCTGGGGTGAAAAGCTGCAGCTGCAATCCCTGCAGAGAGTGTAGGGAACAGAACCCACCCAGCTAGTCCAGGAGCAGAACATCTTGCCAGACGGGCACAACAGGTTCACCCCCAAGGGCAGCAACAGGAA